GGGGTGGGGGGGGAGGGGGGGGGTGGGGGCAGGCTCCAATTTCGCTGATTTTTGGGGAGGGAGGGGGGGGGGGAGGGGAGGGGAGGGTGTTTGGGATGGGGTGTTCATCCCTTCGCTCCCGAACCTAGCCTCGACTACCGTTGCCGACCCAGAAAGTTAGGGTAAGTTTTGGGTTTAGAGCAGTATTAGGGTGTTGGAGGTTTCGGCTTCACCAAGACCTGCACAGCCGCGAAGTCCAGTAACCTATCCAGTGGGAATACTGGGTGCTGGGTTCTGGCATGCGGTTTTTATCATGCAAGCAAGACTTGCGCCCACAATGTCGGCAGCTGGACTTCTAGGCGCAGCTTTTAATGCGGACTGGTTCCGCCAATTGTTTAGACATTGCTTTAAGTTTTGCTAGCCGCATTGGTTCTCGGGAGGACTTCTTTGATCTGGGAGGTTCGAGAGTAACGGAGTAACGGGCCTCAATATGGACCCGCAATTGTATAGGATCCTTACTACCCTGAGAACCCAGGCTAACAGTCTTGCACTCCTGCAAATACTAACCAATGTTACACCTACTTTAGTTGGTAGGCACGTGGGACCCAACCAGAAAGCCCACGTTGCACAATTCCCTGTGAAGCCTTTGTGGAGCCCATAAGTATGAGGTCCTTGCAATCTTTAGAAATGTGAGAGTATCCAAGCCCCATACAATAAAAAAAAGAACGGACCTTTGACTACTGAGGTTTAAGGTTGAAAGTCCCAGAAGATTCAACACCAACACCCCCTGGGCCCCTTGCTCAGGTGACATGAAGACGCTAAGACCTTTCGATCCCGCTTAAGTATTAAGAAGCCTCTATTGATTAATAGAGGCTTCTTAAGCGGGGTCGAAAGGTCTTCACGTCCTCATGTCACCTAGGCCAGGGGTTCATGGGTGTTGAATCTTCTGGGACTCTCAACCCAAAACCCCATAAACGCTAAACCCCTAAACCCTAAACCCTAAACCTCATAAACCCTAAACCCTTGAAGCCCCAACCCTAAACGTGCCTCTCAGAAGAAACGCGGGGTCGAAACTGAAAGCTGCGAAGACCCTGTGGGCACCGCCTGGCCTTGCCGACCCCTTTCGACCCTTTCCTGTAGTTGCGTCCGAGGTCGACGTGGGTGACCATACAGTTGCGCTTCAAGGCATCGGCCAGTGCCTCTCAGCGGAAAAGCGGGGGGTCGAAATTGCAAGCTGCAAAGACCCCGCGGGCACCGCCTGGCCTTGGCACCCTCGGCTCCGATCCTGTTGCCATCGAGGTTGATGTGGGTGACCGTACAGTTGGACTTCAAGGCATCTGCCAGTGCCTCTCAGCGGAAACGCGGGGTCGAAATTGCAAGCTGCGAAGACCCTGTGGGCACCGCCTGGCCTCGGCACCCTGGTCTCCGATTTCGTTTAAACGGAGGTCGATGTCGGTGATGGTACTGTTGGATTTCAGAACATCTGCGAGTGCCTCTCAGGGAATCAACGGGGCCGGGAGCAAGCTACCGCATCTCTGTCACCGTGAAGGCTCGTGCCTTCCACAGAGCCGAACACCGTTCTCGATGGGATTCAGCGACGTAGATCTCCAGCTTTGTGATTGTGTCGTTCAGCCCAAGCGCCTGAAAACACAGCTTTTTCTAAGACAAGCGCCCTCGCGGCACGGCGGCCCCACCTTGCAGAACTCCTCGGCCTCTGCTTCACCCACCTCAATGTTGTCGAGGCGCAAGACCTTCAGCTTCCTGTAATCT